TACTATATATTTTGGCTTTTGTTTGAAATATATCTATGTAATGTTCTGGCCTTCTAGATAAACTCACGTGAGGAGGTATTCATGGAAATTTACATGTTGTCTAAAGGAGAAGGGGACAAATAAGAGACTAAAATGATATAGGAAAAAAACTCATCTGTAGACAATAATGAGTTTTAAGAAAAACTATAAAAATTCTAAGTATTTATTTATGTTGTGCTAATTCTGATTGATTTCCCTATTAATAAGGCAGGTGATTCTGATTCTTCACTGAAGAATAGTTATGTTAATTATGCAATCATGTTCTTTAAAGGTAAAAAAAAAAAGACTGAGGTCCTAAATACAAGTTAATAATTAATCATCGCAGTACAAGCAATCCTCTGAGTTGCAGGGTTCTATATGATTGACCTCCTATAAAATAACAAGACTAAAGCTCTTAGCCTTTCAGACATCCATAGAGAAGTCCAAACATGTTTCTTAAAAACTTCAACATCACATCTATGGTTGGTAAATTAAAACTGCAGTCTAACTGCTCCTATGATGGTTAGTCATGGGACAAAATGCTTTTATTGTGAGTCTATATTAATTCAAAGGGTCAAAAAGTAAAAAAAAATAAAAATAAAAATAAAAAATAAAAACTACTGAGAACATCAATACAGGTTGTAAGGATTTGAAGGCATAAAATCTTGGAGATTATATGGATTTTAGAGGATATTCTAAAAATATAAAATTTATAAGAAATGATGGCTTTAGACGTATATAAAAATTTTCAAGATTTCTTTCCCTTTCCTTAGTTATTGAGAATATGAGTAAACAAGCTTCAAATGAGTCTATAAATTTAACAGAAGTTAAGACTTCTGTTCCCAGTTTGTGTCTGTTTTACCAGGTTCCCACTTGGCTGACAAACACATCCAAGCATCAATTGCTGACAACAACCTGCTCCAAATGACTATGAGTCCTGATCTTGTTAAAACCTGATGTGGACCAATCCAGCCAATGTGATTGCTGTCTTTTCAGCTTGTCAATGAGCCAGATCCTTCTAAGTTCCCTCATTGCTTTTGACTAACATTCTAGCCTTCCAGGGCCTGAGAACAATGTACTAAGGTCAGCAGGAATTCATTACAGAAATGAATACATCATCCCTGTCCTTCCACCCCCAGAATGTTAGACAGAAAGGAAATTTCTCTGTCAGTCATCACAGGGATTTTGGCCATTAATGTCTTCAATAAATAATAATTCCTATCTGGATGGCATTAAACTAATGTTACTAAAATCTCAATATCAGCCTCTGGAATAAATTCATCTCAAGGATTCGAGATGATGCACTAAGCAGGGGCAAGGAATTTTTCAAAGTGCAGAATTTTGTCATTAATAACCTTATAGCTGAACTACCTCTTTCACAAGCTCGAACAGTGTTTACTGATGGTTCTAAAACTCATGTCGCTTATTGTACTTAATCAAAGTTTTGGTCACAATTGTCTCCTCATACATCAGTATAATAGACTGAATTATGGACAGTCATCCAGGTATTGTGAAGCCCTTAATATAGTGGCTGATTCCAAATACGTAGTTGGGGTTGTAAAGACCATTTACACTGCTTCTATTCATGTTCATAATTCTATTCTGCAAGGATTATTCTTAACATTTCAAAAGCTGTTGCAAAAGCGAAATCGTGTAGTATTTATTGTGCATATACGATCACATACCAAATTACCTGGATATCTAACTAAGGGGAATAATCTAGCTGATGCTTTTGTAAACTTTGTTTCAGCTGAGGATGAGCACCAACATTTTCACACTAATGCTCCTCACTTACATGTTCAATATAGAATCCCTTATTGACAAGCTAAATGTGTTATTCTGAACTGTCCTATCTGTTGTCCCCTGCATTTAAGACAAAATACACCTGGTTCCAATCCTCGGGGGTTGGATTCCAACCATATTGTACAGATGGGTGTAACTCATATACCAGAATTTGGCCGGTTATATTATGTTCGTATGACAATAGATACAATCTCCTTCATGATATGGGCTACAACATTATCTGGGAAGGCAACTTAATCATGTCATTACCCATTTATTTGAAGCTTTTGCAGTATTGGGGATGTCAACCATAATAAAGACAGACAATGGGCCTTCATACTCCTCTACAAATTTTCAGCGACTTTGTGATCAGTATAATATTAAACATGTGACTGGCATAGAATATAACCCTCAAGGTCAAGCCACTGTAGAAAGAGCCTTGAAGCAACAAATTAAAAAAAGGGGGGGCTGGAGAGATGGCTCAGTGGTTAAGAGCATTGCCTGCTCTTCCAAAGGTCCTGAGTTCAATTCCCGGCAACCACATGGTGTCTCATAAACCATCGGTAATGAGGTCTGGTGCCCGCTTCTGGCGTGCAGACATACACACAGACAGAATATTGTATACATAATAAATAAATAAATAAATAAATAAATATTTAAAAAAGGAGGAAAATGCTGGACTTGGGTATAAAAGATCTTTAGGCTTTACAGAATAATCCTAAAGCTATTATACGTCAGGCTTTGTTTATTTCAAACTTTTTGAATTTACCACAGCATTTTATGTCTGAGAAGTTTGAGGATTTGGAGCCAGCTTCTTTTAAGGAAATTTGAGCGAAAACTGCTGTTGATGCTGAATGGGTTCCGACATAGTTGTTGGTAGACCAAAGGGGGTATGGTCTTGTGTCTTTTCAGGATGGCCACCAGCATTGGATTCCAGGCCATCGCATCAAGGCCCAAAGGACTGATTGAAATTGCTGTGTGGAGAAGAATGGCATCGAGGCGAAACAAGAACAATCTTGAAGTGCTGGTGGCAGCCATGGCCCAGATATCATTGGCCAAAAAAATGTTCTTTTTGGCGTGTTAAATCTCCTGTGCCTACCTGGGGGCAAATTAGGTCTCTCAATGCTAAGGTTCAAGCTGTTCTGCAGAGGTGTGATAAAACTGTTACAGCAGAGAATCTTGTCCTGGCTATGTGTGCTTTACTGTTGGTAACATCTGTTGAAACTGTAAGTTATTTGTACTGGGCATACATCCCAAATCCCCCACTATGTGATGTGAAAAGCATCATCTCTCTTAGTGTATACCACCCCAAAGGTGTTATCTCCTCCTTGGGATGAATTAACAGCTAAAAATTGTGCAAATGGGTCTAAATTTAATTTTATATATTCTGGCTCAGAACATCCTATATGCTTAGGGCCTCCTCCTTGCTAATCCATGGCTTATTAACATTGACTTTTACCTGGTATTAATGTTATTGGATCATAAATGCAGTTACAGAAGTAGTCTGCCTACTCTTTTTACCAGACGTGGCAAAATGTTACCTATGAATCATATTTTAATTTCCCAGTATGCAAAGATTTCACATATTTCTTTGCAATATAAACCCTTCATTTGAAAAGATTGTTTAGGTAAATTTGGGGAAATTATTAATAACACTTAGATAAACTGGGGGCCATATGGGATGTTTATTAATACATGTTCTGAATGGAATAGTACTGCCTGTAATATGTTTAATGTCACTAAAATGGCTCCAGCTATGAGGAACATTGAAGCAGTTAGCAGTCCGAGGTTTATGGCCTGGGGAGATGGAGGGATAAGTGGACCTCGGATGGCTACTCTACAATTTCCCAATGCTGTTCAGATGCATATTTGGAAACTGGCTGCAGCCTGAAAGATCAACAACAATGACATAAATCAAGAGTGCTGCTAATACCTATGAAAAACCTGCAGAGATACTTAGGATTTTTTTTTAGCTGTTTTCTCAAATGTGATACTAATTAATCTTATTAAATAAAAATCAATAGTCAAATATATGGGGGGTGAAAGGTAAAAGATCTGAAAAGCAGAGCAGCAACCAGTCACTAGTTCTTACTTTTAAGAAATCCTCATACTGAATGCAGTAGCCTGTCTCTACAAGTCCTCAGATTGAATGCCTTTACCTCCTGTCTCCTTCCTCTGTATATTTCTCTCCCCACCCAGCCATATCCCTTCTTGTTTCTACATCCCCAGTTTGGATTTAAAGGCCTATGACTGACAAAAACTGGAATTAAAAGTGTGAGCCACTACTTTTTGAGACTGGATCAATTTCGTGTAGCTCAAGGTGACCTTGAACTCACAGAAATCACTCTGCCTCTGCCTCTCCCTCTGCCTCCTGACTGGGCTTTTGGGGCTAACTAGTAGCTAGCTCCACACTCTGATCCTCAGGCAAGTTTTATATGTTATAACACAAACAAAATGTCACCACATTTCCTCTTTTTGTCTAAAATAAAAAGGTTATAACTAATAAAAGGAAAACTATATACAATAAGTACAATAACTATATACAATACAAACAGGCAATAAATAAGTCAATAATGTCTTGCCCATAAACATTTGACAAATTCAGAGAAAATACCCCATTATCTATCCTAATAATGTGAGTACAAAAGGTAGGACCTAAGTCACTTTGTATTCTAACTTGTATTACCAAAACTATCTCTTAATGCCTCTAAACCCTATGTATTTTACATCTCCTTAGTAAATTTCTTTTTTGAAACTGGTGAGAAGGAAAACAACAGCTATAACTATCTAGTCCTCGTCAGCTTCAGAGAACTGCGAAGGAAGGAATATTAACTGAGTAAGCAGGAAATGCAAGTTTTCTTAGCTGCTTTCTTCTTCCAATAAGGAGAAAACTGCCCTAATTATTTTCTTAGTTATACCCTTGTGAAAATTTATCACAGTACAAACAGCTTCATTTTCATATATTACTAGTACCACATCTACACATAGCATGTATGTATATATCAGCAAAAAAGCTGTCTTGTGTTATGGACAGTTGTCATGTCCTAAGTTTTCCTGTGGCCACTTGGATTGAGACACTCTACTGGCTGCCCTTTCTACATTGCTCATTTTGTAATCAAGAATAATGGAATGCTCCGTTCTTTTCCTTGTATTATTTTACAATGTGTCCATATAACTGGATCTGAGGGATAAGCAAATAAATTATTACAGAAGAAGGATGTATAGTGAAATTTCAATTGTATTTTAATAAAAATATGGTTGCCTGAAGATTAGAGAGTAAAACAGCTCCATGGGCCAGCCTTAAAGACCAGGCAGTAGTTACATACACCATTATTTGAGTAGCCAAACTAGTTGTCATAGAAAGGGGGAAGTGCATGCCTTTAATCACAGTGGTGCACAACTTTAATACCAGCAACACAGAGGATTGCAAAATGGGAGGAGACAGCTCTCTGACACAATTTCATTCTGAGATTCATGAAGGCAGGATCACCATTTCAAACTGAGGTTGAGGTAAAAACCATTGGCTGGCTGTTTTGCTTCTCAGATCTTTAGACTGAACCCCAGTTTCCCTCTCTGAGCCCTTCTTAATTATGCTTCATGGATGTAAAGTCTGAAAGGAGGTTTGGCTGGCTGACTGAGGGTTTACATGATAAAGCACAATAGGGTAAATATGTGAAAATTTCACAAACAAATCAGATAAAAATTATAAAAATAAGTTAGATAAATATTACAAAATAATAAAAGATCCCATTTCAATTTTTGATTGATTGTGCTTCGAAACTTTGATCCCCATGATGTACTTTGTAGGAGCTGATGTGATTTAAGGATGCGTATGTTTGAGTATATATGAATGATCACATTCAGACTTCTCTATGGCTACTGTTTAATCTCTCTCAAAATTTTAATTATCATTAGTGTAAGCAGATATTTCTTGAGACCTTATGCTTCACTGAAACAATTATAAGAACTTACCAATATACAGTACTAAGAAAAATAATAATGTAAGTTTATATATAAATAGAAAATTAAGCTTAAATAACCTAATTAACTTCCAAAAATAGAAATGTTACAATTTTCAGATTATAGTAACAATTATTATAATAATAAAGTGAATATATAGTGAATTCTTATAAACTTACCATTCATCAGCATCTATTTGAGTATCTATTTGAGTATAGCTTAACTTACTTTCTTTTTCTTTGTTTATTGAGACAGGGTTTCTCTGTAGCTTTGGAGCCAGTCCTAAAACAGGCTCTTGTTATGAAAGAAGAGTATAAGTATCCCTCACTATATACTTGATAGAAAAGTTATTCCCATGGAAATATGGACAGCCCCTTACCTTGCTTCATCTCAAATACTGGAGTGTCCAGACAGGGAAGAGTAACCAAATGCATCTGACACAAAGTAGAAACAATATGTACCTGAAAAGAGAAAGAGATTAGAACATACAGTATGTGTGATTCTCGATTAAAGCAGAATGGAAACAATGTGGATGTTACACTTATAGTTCTCTGCTCCCAGATAGTCATTTGGTACTAACCAAGAAGAGCTTTCAACAAGATCCCATCCCAAATCCAGAATACAGGTCCGATTAACACCTGAAAAAAAAGTGAATAATGTGTTCCATGCAGAGGAGTCTCATTGCACACACAAACCAATCTTAAGAGAGAATTCAATGCCCAGCAGTGGTTTGCACACACACAAAGCACTAAATAGAATGTTTGGAGATTTTTCATCTCAAAATTCTTTTAAACAATTGTTATCCTCATATGTTCTTTGCTTATATTTAATGGTTTAGGATTTTGTGTGTTGTAAGGATCCACTTGTTTGTTTCCTGGCTGCCCAGACCCAAAATAATTATGTCCAGAACCAAAATAACCACACATAAACTATATTATTAAATCACTGTTTGGGCCATTAGCTCTAGCTTCTTCATGGCTAACTTGTACATTTTAATTTAAGCCATCTCCATGAACCTGTGCATCACCACAAGGTTGTGGCCTACCAGCAAAATTTCAGTGTTTCTGTCTTTGGAGGGAGCTCCATGGCTTCTCTCTAACTCAGCCTCCTTTCTGCCAGCATTAAGTTTAGTTTTTCCTGCCTAGCTCTGTCCTACCCTATCCGCCCAAGTCAGTTTCTTTATTAAACAATGGTAGTCACAGCATACAAATGAAAATCCCACATCACCTTCCCTTTTCTGTTTAAATAAAAACAGAAGTTTTAACTTTAACATAGTAAATTACATATAATAAAATAGTTATCAAGCAAGCATTAAAGTTACAATATTTATATCTATTTTATCTTTTATCATAACTAAGGAAAACAGTAACTATAAGTCCTTAAACTCCATCAAAGATTCCAGAAGAATATAATATCACCTAAGTAAACAGGAAGTAGATTTTAAGCAACTTCAAAAACTCTAGAATTGATAGAAATGTCTTGCTGCCTGAACAGACATACAAAGTTCATCTGTACCATTCATCTTCAGCCTACTGATCCCATAGTATCCAGCAAACTTTTCCAGGAAGTAATAAATTCCAAAGATAGGTCAGCCTATATTGGCAGTTTCTCAGTCACATTTTTCTGTGTCCTTCAGAATGTCTAGCTGACTCTTTCATGAAACAGGATCCCTGAAGAAAAGTGTCATGCTTAGGCAAGTTAAGCACTCATTTCTCTGCAGGTACTGCATGTACAGTTCATCAAGCATTCCAGACAAGAGCACCTTCTGACAAAATGGCCAGCAAACTCTATAAGGAGCCTCTTCAATGCACATCTTCCTCTGGACTTAATTGGTGCTCCAAGAAGCAGATGTGTCTCAGTGTCATATAAAGCTTAAGTTCTTAAAACATTAAAAATGCGATATTCTGTAGTCTTTAAAACTATCTAACAGAAATGCATTTCTATATATCTAGAAAATCTAACATGACTGAAAGCTTGACTATTATAGATAATTATCTATAACCTGTATTTCTTAATTATACTTTATATTTCAAATAAGTTGCACAAACATAGTACCTTAATCAAGAGCAGAAATGTGTGTGTGTGTGTGTATATATATATATATATATATATATATATATATATATATAAACAAAATTGACCTTAAATTTGTATCAATAAACCAAAATAAATACCAATACAAAACTCTATAGCATATCCCCCTTTAAACATATAAACAATATTTGGGAATAAGGGTGTAGTTCTCCCTACAGCTTCCTGCTTTCTGTTGGTTAAAGTATTTTTTGGAGGTGTTCATAGTAACCTTTCAGGGGATCTTGATCCAGCAAATGTAGGGATAGCCCAGCCCATTGTGGGGGCGTGTTCACCTTGGGCTAATGTTTATGTATAAATCTGGCAGGCTTGAGCCCCGCCACTCTCTCTTTTGTATTTCCTGCTCATCGCTGGATCCCTGGTGTTGTAAGCCATCCCTTCATTAAAATTTGCTGTTTCATATTTGATGTGGGAGTGATTTCTTATTAATAAAGAAACTGCCTAGGCCCCTTGATAGGCCAACCCTTAGGTGGGTGGAGTAAACAGAACAGAATTATGGGAGAAAGAAGCTTAGTCTAGGAGTCGCCATGATTCTCCCGCTCCAGACAGACACAGGTTAAGATCCTCCCTGGTAAGCCAGCTCGTGGGCTACACAGAATATTAGAAATGGGTTAGAACAATATGTAAGAGCTAGCCAATAAGAAGCTGGAACTAGCTGGGCCCGGCAGTGTTTAATAGAATACAGTTTCCGTGTAATTATTTTGGGGCATAAGCTAGCCATGCAGGCGGCCGGGTGCTGGGGATGCAGCCCTGCCGCTCCTAATGCAACACATATTAAGCTAGCCTGGTTATTATGTCACATACAAATTGGCACCCAATGTGGGGCTTTTTTGCCCTTGCCCCTGCATGGCCCAAGGGCGCAAGCTTGATCTTTCCCAGCCTTTGCAAGCAAGTCAGCTACCAGAGCTCAGGAAGCAACTGGACTCAAGTAAGCATAGCCCACTAGCTTTCACAGTGTGCTCCTGGCTCACTTTCCCTTCTCCCACTCCTGTCCAGCTGCCAGGAGCCCTGCTGTTTTTGACTCGGGCCCCAGTGCCGAGTCTGAGATATAGCCAAGGAAGCCTCACGCATGCCATAGCCTTCCCGTTCCGCCCAACGTGAGGCCCGAACCCACAACCCTGAGATTTAGAGTCTCATGCTCTTATGATGAACAGGAAATACAAAAGAGAGAGTGGCAGGGCTCATGCCCACCAGATTTATACGTAAACATTAGCCCGAGGCGAACACGCCCCCCCAATGGGCTGGGCTATCCCTACATCCAAATCTTATTAGTCTGGAATAATTCCACAGGTGATCATCCTCTGTGGAAACAAAAGAAGAACCGCTTTTTCAAAGCAACATATACTTAGGCTCAAATTCTGAAGTCAAAATATCTTAAAAGTATATATATATATATATATGTGTGTGTGTGTGTGTGTGTGTGTGTGTGTGTGTGTGTTACCTAGCTCCTTTACAGTCAAAAAATTCAAAGATAACAGAATAATATACATAATCCATACTCTTTTTGCCTAGTCCATCTTTATGTGGGTTATTTGTTTTTGCTTTATTACTTATTATTATTTATTATCTTTCTCCTCAAATCTCTGATTGTCTGAACCCTACCACTTTAAAGATTTGCTTTGACTTTTTAAAACCCATTTTTTACAACTCTCTCTATTCTTTTTTTCTCTCTCCCAAGCCTATGTACATTTCTCCAATACTGTGACCCATTTAAAGGTCTGGTCTTTTTTATCTGAATCTGTCTTGATTGTGTATCTGTAATTATTTTGTGACCAGAAGTGCTTATTAAAATGCAAAGCCCTTCATATGAACTCAAGTGGTGATGTTGCTGAAGGAACTACAGCACTGCTGTCTTGCTCCACCCAGTCCAACATGGTGCAAGAGGTCTGTTCACTACCCTGAGTTGTGCACACTGCCCCAGTTCCAAGTATGCAGTGGGTCTATATCACACTATTCCGCACGTTTTAGCATTCTGCTCACAAAACCCACTTAAGTGCTCCATAGATGGACCTCTTTAGAGTTCTTATTAGCAGCACAGCCCAGGAAGCCACCATTTCAAAATGCATGCCTTTTCTTCTGCTATTGCTAATTAGGAAGATCTTTCTTAAAGGATCTCTGGCAGGCCAACAGCAAAATGCTGGATACCTAGAAGCCATGCTTCTAAAATTAGTTTGTAAGCTTTCCCAAGTTTAAATGGATACAGTCAAACATGTGAGTAGTTGCTTGTTTGTTTCCCAGCTGCCCACCACTGAAATAATCACACAAAAACTATATTATTTAAATCACTGTTTGCCCCATTAGCTATAGCTTTTTATTGGCTAACCCGTACATCTAAATTTAAGCTATATCCATTAATCTGTGCATCACCAGAAGGTTGGGCTCTAACAGCAAATTTTCCGTGTGTCTGTCTCCAGCAGCTGCTCCAAGGCTTCTCTCTAACTCAGTCTCCTGAGTTTAGTTTTTCCTGCCTAGCTGTGTTCTGTTATATCAGGCCAAACCAGTTTCTTTATTAACCAATGATATTTAGTGCATACAGAGGGAATCCCACACCATTTGTATTTTTGTGGCATTTATGTTTGCATGAACGTGTCTTTGCATCTATGTGCTTCTGTGTTTCTTTGGCATGTTTTTATATGTGTTTCTTTCGTTCTATTCTGATGTTTATTATTATTATTATTGATATTATTATGAATATTTTACTATCATTATCATTACTATTATTATTACATGCCTGTGTATATTCAATTGAGAAAGAGTAGATTTGGGCAAACGGAAATGTGAAAAACATCTTAAAGGAGCTGGAGGACAGGAAACAATAGTCATTATATATTGTATGGAGCAAAACTATATTCAAAGACAAGACCACATGCAAATAAAAAAAGTGTCAGCAAATGTTTCAGCTATGAGCTCTGAGTTTCATGTTTCTATATACGAGATGTACTTAAAGATATTATTCACATAGCAGGTACATTAAGGGAGTGTAAAAAGCAGAAGATCTTCTGTCTTGGTTAGATACTAAAGACTGAGATGAATCCCATACATTGCAGATAAAGCCAAAATCCAAAGATGAATGAGAATGATGTATCTTAAAGAAGACACAGAGGCTTAGGAAGGAAGAACACATTTACTGCACAGAAAAAAAGAGCAGGTGACTCAGTCAGCATGTGGGAAATATTAGAAAGTACCTAGCTATGCTGGATGTCAATTGGCTCTGTCTGCTGGCAGGTTTCAGGAGCAATCCTCCTTCAATGACCATTAGGTTGTAGTCAGGTCCTGGCTAGAACCAGGAACCAGCTGAGAGCTGGACTCCAGCCAGGAGCCTGACTGACAAAATCCCTTTGTGAAGGGATGGATATTATCTTCATTTGCC